AAATGAAAAATAAATAAAATATTAAAAAAAAAAGATGCTCTTTGAAATTTTCTGTTCAGCTTTCTTACCTCAGCCATCCTTCCCCTTGCTTTGGGTTCTTTTGGCCCAATATATGTTTCAGAATCTTTTCTGACATCCATGTTGATCTTTTCTTCCTTTCATGCGCTTGTAATGATATTTTGATATCTTCATAAATGAGATCTTTTCACAGCTTCTCTAGTCTTCAGTCATTAGTGTTCAATGCATTAAATCTATTACGATGGTTTTCTTCAATTTGTCATTTCTGGCTATTAGAACATGTGATTATATTTTAGTTCTTGTTTTAATTTTCTTCACCTTTAATCTGAATTTGTATGGTTCGTTCCAGTCAGCCCTTGGCCTGTTTTTGACTTCTGATAATGAGCTTCTCCATGGATTCTTTCCATAGATATAGTCCACCTGATTCTTGTGGAGAGGTCCACGTATAGAGTAGCTGTTTACATTTTCTTTTTAAAAAAAGTATTTGCAATGAATAAATCATTGATTGTACAAAACTCTATTATTTCATCTTCAGGCTGATTTCTGTCACCAAGGTTGTATTTTCAAACTACCAATCCTTTTTTGTTTCCAACTTCTGCAGCGTTCTAGTTACTAATTATTAATGCATCTTCACTGCATGTTCGATCAATTTCAGACTGCAAAAGTTAGCATAAATCCTCAATTTCTTCACCTTTGGCTTCAGTGGCTGGTGCATATATCTGAATAATAATTGTATTAAAAGTACTTTCTTGTATGTGTATAGATAATATCCTATATCACTCACAGTATTTCTGGATGGATCATGAAATGCACCTTTTGAGGAGGAATGCCACACCATTCCTTTTCAATTTGTTATTTCTGGCTATTAGAACATGTGATTATCAATTAAAAATTACTAATACCAGTCCATTTACACTCACTAATGCCTAGGATGCCAATCTTTAAGCCCACTTAATTTTTACCAACTTTCAGCTTTCCTAGATCCATACTTCATCCATTTTATGTTCTAATTATTAGTGGATTGACTTAATTGGATACTTACACATACAAACACATAAACTGTAAGTTTATTTTAATGTCTCTTTGAAGGTACTTTTCTAAATAAGTACTCAGTTAAATTTCTAAATGTACAGGAAAGGGTGAGGTAAAAAACTGCCAGCTTTTTGTGGCTAATTTCTGGTTTTACTGCACTTGTTGTGTACCGTCGAATCAGATCTGACTGGCACAGGAAGAGACTGCACTTCCTTCTCCAGCAGAGCATCTGATGGATTCAAACTACATGCCTTCGGTACGCAGGACAGCTTCTTGCCACTAGGCCACCAGAGCTCCCTTGGTTTTACTGCATTTTTACCAGAGAATGTTGGTTGTCTCCGACTCTCTTCTTTTAGTTACTTAAGATTTTCTGTCTCTAGTGATCAGAGCAGTATCTGTAAATATTCCAAAGATGTCTGAAAAGAATTTGGTTTTTTCTGATTCTTGGATAAACATTATGCAATACATATATCTGGAAAGATTTGTGTTATTCAAATATTTACAACTTTCCCAAGTTTGAGGTTTGGATAATTTTATGAGTTATTAAACAGCTTTTCAATAAAATTCTCTTCTTTTTAAACTGGTCAAACTCCATGAATCTTGACATCAACTAAGAAGATCCTTGAGATCTTTACCATGCTTTTCTCAGAAAGGAAAAGGTAAGTGGTGTTGAATTGACTACTTCTGATAACAACTCTATGAACAACGTATTGTAACTTCCCTTGAAAGATCCCAAATAAATAATGTCTTGGATTAAAATTCTTTTTTCCTCTCCTTATCATTTGCAGAGAAACCTTCGTGGTGTAGTGGTTAAAATATTCAGCTGGTCCAATAGCTGCTCCAAGGAAGGGAGATTGTGGCAATTTGCTTTAGATGTCTTTGGAAATTTCCAGCCAGAGCTGGGTTATTTATATAAATTTTCACAATTCTATGGGTCAGGTAAGTGGCTCTTATAGTTTGGGCTGGTGTAGCTTATCTCTGCTCTCAGTCAGTTACTTGATGAGATGGCATAGAATAGCCTCACTCACATATCTATACTAGGCATGCTTGTTGGTCCAGGAAGTCTCTGCTTGGATAACTTATCTCTCTACCCTAAGGGTCTCTAGCCTTCTTTTAAAAAAATTCCCAGTAGCAGGGAGCCCTGGTGGCCTAGTGGCAAGAAGCTGCACTGCAATCCCAGAGGTACACGGTGCTAATCTACCAGATGCTCTGCTGGGGAAGGAGGGGCAATCTCCTTCTGTACCAGTAAGATCCGATTTGACAGTACACACACAAAATTAAAAATTCCCAGCAGCAAAGCAGCTCTAGGACATAAGCAACTTTCAATTCTCTGTTCTTGTCTTATCTGTTAATTGGTGAAAATAAATCCAAGGCCAAGCAATGATTATGAAAGAAGAAAATCATCTCTCCTTTAACTGGAAAAGCTATCAAGTCTTATCACAAAGGGATGTACACATAGGGATAAAAAAAAGAAATTCTCCTTTTAAAAAAATTATCATACCTCTTTGAAGGTTTAAAAATTATTTTTCTGATTAAATGCTTTTTAATTGTGGTAAACTATATGCAACATGTAAGTTACTATTAGGGTCATTTAGTACATTCAGTGCTGTTCCACTATCTAGTTATATAACATTTCATCATCTCAGATCAGGTAAGGAGCTCTAGTGGAACAATGTGTTACAAGCTGCACTGCAAATTGAAAGACTGGGAGTCTGACAATCACCCACCAGATGTTTCTGTAGGAGAAACTTGAACAGTATCTTCCTGCAAAAACTTACAGCTTCAGAAATGTGATGGAGGCTCAATATAAATCTGAATCGACTTGTCCATAAATGGGTTTGTTTGTGTATTTTCTCTTGATTTTTGTAAATGAACAATGAATATTGTAGTTCACTGATTGGACCTTGCACTCAGTAAAATTTATTCATCTGTTCCTTTTGGAACTGCTACTTCACACTAAGAACACCCTTACATGTATTTTTCCTAGGCTTTCTTAATCTGGAAGCTCCATTGCCACCTGTTCACTGTGGGTGATACTGATGGCCAAGCCACCACAGTAGGACAAACTGATAGGTGGCGGTGAGTGGACAGACTAGAAGCAAAGCCTGGCAATCTATTTCTGGCACACAGCTGAAATGACTCAAACCTGCTGGTGATTGCAAGGATGACATAGAACCAGACAATGTTCTATTATGTTTACATGAGGTTGCCTTAAGTTAGAATTTACTTGCTGGCAATTCACAACAATCATCTCCCTTCGTGTCTTTTATCTTTTTACTAATGAATTCCATTTCTTTTTATTATTTTTTCTATGCCCTAAGGTAGTTTCTTGTTTGATGGTCCCTAACTTTTTTAAAAGTAATATACTATTTTCCAATTAAGTTGAATTTTGTAACTAAAAAGCTATGTGGCTCCCCCCTCTTCAAGAGCATCCTTTGTACATTTAAGTTTCTATTTCTTACATTTAAATTGTCTTCAGGAGTCATTCATTTCTGTTGTTAGCTTTCTCTCCCTGAAACTACCAGGTATCCTCTATATCATCTCTGTTCAATTGCACAAATGGCTCTAGATTCCTCTAGTACTTGTGGGAATCACATTGTTCTGATTTCTCAGACAGCAGAGTACTGACAAGAAGTGAAACCTAAGACACAGTTTTTCTCCAGCTTGTCCCCAGAGAGAGCCAAGCCTAGAGCCAAACAGAAAGCAGATGCAGTCCCCTGGGCACTGAGTGGCTGGGTCACTGTTTTCACTCAAGGCTTAACTAGGACTTAGGTTGCAGGGCTTTCCTTCCAGGTCTGGAAAAAATCATGACAAAACTATTTCGATGTAAAACTGAAAAGGCCTCCTCTGAAGCCTAAAGATTCAACTCCTTGCTAGTAAGTCAGAATCAACTCATAGCTGAACCTTCATGGGATTCTAAGACTGTAGGAGGAAACTACCCATCATTCTCCTGTGGGGCTGCTGGTGGATTTAAACCATGAAAGAAATGCAGGATTTGAGTTAGCAGCCCAACTCGTAACTGACACCACCAGAACTGCTCAAAACCCAAAAAATACTTAGCATCAATGTACTCACTTCAGGTCGTTTACTTTACCTCCACATCTACTCTCTCTACTTTAGCTGGTTTTTTTTTTTTGTAGATGGATCAATAAGTAGAGAATAAGAATAGTACACTCACTCAAGTCATGATCTTCCAAGAGTATCCTTCAAGTAATTACGTTCTTATATTTTAAAAAAAAATCTGTTTATAAATGTAGAAATGTAAATCTCAGGAACACAGGATTTTATTGACGAATGGATCCTAAACTATGGGCCAGCAAAATGAGGTCTCTTGTCAGATGAAATTGAAGGCAAATCTTTTATGTCCTGATCTTTTTGAAATGCTACCTTTTTAGTCAATACAATCATTTGCAGAGGTATTGTTCTTCCTGCTTCCGTCCAGTCCAATTCCTTTTCTGGTATCAGGCCAAATCTCATTCTCTTTGCCTTGTTTTTCTATCATCACCACCTGCCATCAAGGTGATTCTGACTCATGGTGGCTCCATGTTATGTCGGAATTTAACTCTAAAGGGTTTTCAGTGACTGACTTTTGGAAGTAGTTTACCAGGTCTTTCTTTCAAGCTCCCTCTGGGTAAACTACATTATTTGAATTCCAAACCCAGCTTCCCTATGTGCTAGCTATGTGACCTGAGGCATGTTTCATAACCTCAAATTTCCTCCTCTGTGAAGTGGAGAAGATGTGTCTATATGAGTATTAGAGACAATCCAAGTAAAATATCTAGCATATTACAAGTACTTAAAAAAAAGTAAGCGTTCTTATTTATGTCATCACATACCGAGAGTACTCCTTACTCCTTATTCTAGATAAACAACAAATATTAAAGACACTTTCTATTCTGTAAACTGTTGTTATAGTCTTTAATGGGCCTATCACTATCTAGGTTAATATGTACCTCTCAAGCTCCTCTTAAAATGGTTGGTTTTTTTTTGTGGCAAAACAAAGACTCTTTAGACTCTTTTTTCTTTATTAAAATACACATCTAGTTTCTTACCAAGACAATTTGAAGCATCAACTTGTTCTTTCAAAAAATCAACACACATTTTCTTCACAGGTTCAATCTGGTACTGGTTTGCCGCATCTAACAAAGACTGCACGTTATTGCTGTTTACAGAAATCCTGTAAATTAGAGTGAATTATTAATCTTCCACAATATTTTAATTACTTAAATAAGTAACTTAAATAATATTACCATAGAATATATTCTACTAGTAACTGAAAACAGTATAGACTCCTATGTTTTCCAATGCTTGTAATTCTTCATTCGAAAACATTTGGAGCGTTTCAGTTAGAAGAACGCTTTGCTATGAGAGATACCAACTTTATTGCTCTACAACATAAACAATTCTTTTTTTAAAAAAATTTTTAAAAATGATTTTATTTTACTATTTTTTGTGTGTACCGTCAAATCAGATCTGATTGGTACAGGAGGAGATTGCCCCACCTTCTCCAACAGAGCATCTGGTGGATTCGAACCGCATCCCTCTGGGATTGCAGTGCAGCTTCTTGCCACTAACAGAAACAATTCTTAACTTACCTGGCAGTATAAGCAAATTCCACAAGCTGTTCAATAATGTCAGGTTCGGCATCTTTGAGTTCTACTTCAAAGGACTTTGATTCAAGCATGTTAGCTAAAATGAAAAGAATAGCACAAATGGCATCAGTACTACCACTAGGTTAGCTGCAGAATCAGCCGTCCAGGTCCTGTTAAATATGAAAAGAACAATTCTCTGAAAATATGCTGGAAAGCCTAACATTTCTATAATAGATGAAAATTCCTTCTCTATACTCATTCTGTACCTTAAATGAAAAAAGATTTTAACATCTTGGTGTTATGATAACTTGGTGACCTATGTGACAGAATAAAAGGTTTTCAGGCTGCGATCTCTGGGGGAGCATATTGTCAGATTGTCTTGCTGTGAATCACTGGGTGGATTCAAATCACCAACCTTTCCATTAGCAGTCAAATGCTTAACCCTTTTCACCAAGGCATCTTTAAAAACAAAAAAGTGCTCAGGTGAAAGTCACAAAACTAGATTTCTGAAATAGCCTAGTATTCTTTTAAACTGCTATTAGTGTTCTTGTGATGTAGCATGAATAAACCTATAGAAATACTGAGAATAATTATATGTAGCTTGCAAAACTCTAATATATTTTAAAAACATTGCTTAGCAACAAGTGCTCCAAAGAGAAAACGTGAGGAAAATTCATTTTATAACCAGATTATAACTCATACACAGTACTAAACAGAATTATAACTTGGACTCAGTTCCTAACAACTTCAAATCTATGGTTTATCACAGTATATATAGTAAAACCTGCAAAAGCTGATGATTGCCTAAGGTTGAAACTTGTCAGAAAAGGAAACTAAAATTAGGGATAAGATATCCTACTACCAAAGGTGGAAACACAGTTATACTCAGAGAAACAAGGCCTTCTCATTGCACTTCAGCTCTGAGAGAATTCACTGTGTTAGCCATATGTGATCTCTCATTTTCTTTCTTCTTTGGGGGTGTGTGTGTGTGTGTAACTTCCTAAACAATATGCCATGAGATTTATCTGTTGATCAGATTGATCTTTGATCAATCATCCTGATGATCATTGTTCTATTTATTTGCTATTCTGTGGCCTTAAATTCCCAAGCACTTTAAAAATTAGGAGACTGGCATAATTTCATATAGACTCCAAAGAAAAAATAAAGACATGTTTCACCAACAGACACCTACTTGTGAACATTAGGTTGAAAAAATGACTGGCTGCAGCAAGGACAACACGATGAGCAGGTATCTTTCTTTCCTGGACCATCAGGATCACATCACACAATGTTTTCTAATTGAAAGAAAAAAAAAAAAATTAAAAGGGCTGTAGAAAGTCTAGTAACATGTAACAGATGCTTAGCAAATATTTTGCTTCTACTTAAGTCCAGTCTTTTTCCAGCCCAGAATGCTTATAAAGCATGTGGAAGAAGGATTTATAGAACTGCCATCATGTAGTATCTAGAACAAATAAGAGCAAAGAAAAAAAACAACCCACAGAAAAATCAGTCTAAAAGACTCAACTGTACCACCTAACCCTTATAAGTTTGAGATAAAAAGAAATGGACAGTATTCAGTTACCTTTAACAGATGTAAAAGGGATCAGGATAGAGGGTCCTGGATAGAACGGGGTGGGGTGGGGGAATGTGGAGGAAAATGCAAGAACACAAAAGTGGCCGGACTTGTTAGTTTAATAGAGATTAGTGGAACCTTGGATTATAGCCCTCCTGACCATGCTAGCCTGGAACTGAACTTACCACTGCGGCTTAAGTTCTAGCCAAACAACAAATAGTCTTATAAAGTGCCCAGTAAAACTGGAGAGGTATCCACTCCTTAGAACAATCAAGCATACAAGATCAAAACGGCAGCATTTTCCAAGGAAGACAATGCACAAGGCAGGCAGGGATAAGAAAAGGATAAATGGAAACAATCATAAGAGGAAATGGAAAGAGTGCCATACAAATGTGGGGACTATAATTAATGTCATAAGACAAACTTCATGAATGGTTGCATGTAAAACCATTTTGCTCTGTAAACTTTCATTTAAAACATTTAAGAACTGTAAAAGCAAAAATTTAAACTTTTCTTAAATGCTATAACCCATTAGTTTAGAACTCATTTCCACCTTGTATTAGATGAGCCACATCCATCTAATCTTACCAAGTTCCCAGGAGTCAGACCTTTATCTGACTCTTCTTCTGATGACCCCACAGAAATTGTCTGAATAATTTCTAGATATCAATAAACAGAAGATGAATACATTGGTGGGAAAGAACTGAGTTCTAAGGCACCGCAAGCTTTGGCGGGCTACTAGGAAGAGAGCTGCTTTGACAACTCAAAGGGGGGCTACAAGAATCCACCAGCTTCTCTGAAGGAGAAAGTAGCTTCTTCTCTGAAGGAGAAAGAAAGATGGACAGTTGCCTCCCATGCACAATTTATAGTCTGAAAACCTTCTGGAAGGTTAAGAATTAATTGCTTCCCAATAGATAGAAATGAGTTTTTTGAGTTCAAGTAGTCAGTAAACTTTGGAATCAGGAAGAAAAATTCTTTGGGAAAGTGAGAGTGGGCTAGGGACGAGAGATGCGGTGTGGGTAGTTTTGTTGGTTTTCTTTTTAAAATAAATTCTAATTTCATGGTGAGCTTTTATGATTTTTAGCGACCCTAAAAACAACAGATCTAAACCCTGTCATGTACTGTGCCGTCCTCATCATCTCTGTCACTGGGGCCCATGGCAGCAGTCACTGTGACAATCTACCTGATTGAGAGTCTTTCTCTTTTCTACCTTCCACTTTTCCAAGCATGAAGTTCCTCTCCAAGTACTGGCCTCTCTTAATAACATGCCCTAAGTATGTGAGGCAAAGCATTGTCATCTTTGCCTCCAAGAAGCACTTTCGCTGAACATTAGGACATATTTGTTTGTTCTTTTGGCCATGGGATATTCAGTACTCGTCTCCAATACCACAGCTCGAAGGTGTCAATTCTTATTCTATCATTCTTATTGTTCAGCTCTCAGATACATAGGAAGTGACTGAAAAGACCATGGCCAGAATCAGGCACACCTTAGTCTTCAGACACTGTTGCTCTTCAGAATTTGGAGATGTCCTTGACAGCAGACTTTCCCAGTGCAATACGTATCTTGATCTCATGACTGCAGGTGCCAAAGATATGAACTGTGGATCCAAGTACAATGAATTTGCTGACAGTTTCAATCCTTTCTCCACCTATCATGATGTAGATGGGGGGAAATAAATGGCTGCTGATAGGAAGTTACAGAAAATGCAGGATTAAACAGAAATTGGACAAAACCTTTTCCTACAGTAGTAAGAATGTAAGGAATTTTGTTGTCTTTTTTTTAAAACTCATTTCTTTGGATAATTTTTTCACGGCGAGTTAAGAAATCCTGGAGTCAAAGAGAAACCTGACATCAGATGACACTGAGGGAGTATATTTGGGAGCTTTGAGGATAAAATGTGAAAACAGCAAATTTAGGAGAAGAGGAAATTATGGTTTGGTATGCCTGTCTCCTTCCTCCACTTTCTGGTTTCACCAATCTGTAACGACCCCCTTCCTTGCTTGTCTTTCAGAGGTGTGCTCCTTGAGATTAGGTTGCAGGAAACCAAGAGGTACAAAATGCTGCTATTCTGGCTTTGTGATATAACTGTAATTTCTAAGGAGTTTTTGAATAACAGACTTACGGTAAGTTAAGGAAACAAGAGAGCTGGCAAGTGACTCCCATAAATATTATACCCTAGAAAGATAATGTATGGGGATGCTATATATGTGT